GTGTGTGTGTGTGTAAATTTTAAAATTTCTCTCAATACTAATACTTTAAAATGAATAAATGATTATCCTATTGCCCAGTTTTTACCATTCAGTATTACTTTTACATAAATCGCCGGAAATACATTACGTGTGATAAATCCGAGAGCAGCTCTTGACAGGAATTATCAGGCAATATTAAGTCGATGTAACCGCATCGCTGTTCCTGTCCGCGGTTATTCTTTCCGCCCTTCCCGGACTTTCACTTGTTTTTAAACACAGCTACCATCCTCCGTTTCTTGCCATTTCTTGGCATGTCATTGTCGGTGGGGAGTGATCAGAACCAATGTACACACAATTCCTGAGAAAGAGGAAGCACAGAGTCTAAAAGGACGTCCGCAGATGGCGAACCATGTCCGTCTAGTGTCGCCAGCACGCCGTGTCGCAATATCCGGAGCGCGAGGGAAAGAAGAGGAAAGCAGAAGGGCTCTGAGTAGTTGCAAGAGCGACGCGCGGCTGCAAGGGTTGAGGTTTGTGCAGAAGAATATAATCTACCTCTGCACTCAGGAAACTCCGAGAGGTCGTCCGCTGTATCGTGCTTCGCATTGCTCCTGTAAAATTTGTCGGGAAACTACACTAAAGTGAGTATAAAGAGAACACTGCACTGTTATCTACTGTGTTTTAACAATGTAGCCATTAGTAGCTGGGTTAGTCTCAAGGCTGAAGGTTTTTTTCCACCACATTATTATTGTAAAGGTAATTTCTTTAAGATTTTGTATTGGAAATGAAACTGGATATCTTATTACAATCGAAACTTGCACCGTTTTAATTTTTGTAATGAGGATATTTCTACGCCGAAAAATCATATCCGAAGGTTTAAATAAAATTAAAATTATATATACCACAATATTTTCAATTTTTTTCAATCGGTTATTTCAACATTTGTAAGTCAAAATTTCTAAACAAATGGCAGAACTGATATGCAATGGTGCAGATGATCTAGATTCATTTTAATAAACATATAAAATGGTACATTTATGATGAAAATGAAATAGTATTTAGTTTTTTCATCTACGGTGCATGGATATAGTAAAGAAGAATTGTAAGAGAAAATCTCACAATGGACATTTGCGAAGCGTATTATTCAGAATTGTTGCAAAATTTTATTGTATAATGTTTAAAACGACAATAAAACAAATTGTGAACAACTGCGCTATGAAATTAGGAACAAATAGACATCTTTACTTTCCAATACCTGAAATACGTTGCTGAAGGGAATGCAACATTAGGAACCGCACTACAACAGGTTTGCACGCGCGCACGGTAGTAACAAAATTTATGAAATTGAATCTGTTCTTTTACGTGGCTATTTGATAATACTACAGATAAAAGAAATAAAAGTTGGTATTTTCCTAAAATGAAAATGAAACACGACAGTAGGTTATATAACAACACCACGTACATTTATTATTTCATATTTATTAGTTTTGTTCATTTGACCTCGTGCCTCTGAAATATTATCATAATTATCGCCTTCTCTCTTTCTTTCCTGAGGCTTTTTCCAGCTTCGCGGGATGTCGATTTGGACAATCCATGTCGAGTACCCACCGTGTCCCTCATGGGGACACAAATTAACCTTTTGCACGAGACACAGTTGCGGCCTCTCGGACTGCGGTCAGCAGACTCACAAGGCCTTCCGCGTCAACACACGTATATGAATGGCAAGGGACAAGCAACCATGCCCACGGCAGGACTCGAACCCGCGACCATTCAGACCAAGGCGCTGAGTCAGCACACGCTAGAACGCCACCTCGCCCATCCAGGCGAGTTTGCACAATTATTGCATTTACGACGCCTATTCTATCGCGTTTATCATTACAAATATTATTATAGTTTATGAGAAAATGGGTTTTAAGGAAACGATGATAGGGGAAAGTGTCAATTTCATGGGTTATAGTGTATTTTAATTATAGATAGTCAAATTCGTAATGTGTATTTTATTATATTACTTGGCACCAAGTAGTACAATAAAATAATCATAGAATTGAGGGACTATAATTTAAAGATTCTATAATTCATAAAGTTTAGACAAATAATTCCCAAAATAACCTTCTTTATGAGTTAATTTCACGACTAAAACTGATATTTTTGATGCACCAAGAATCCCTGTAAAAATTATCGCTTTCACAACACTTAATGTCCAGGACGTCGTTCGCCTTGTTACAAGAAAATGGAGGCAAAAAAGTATTGTGACGATTGTAATTTCCAATTCACGCTGAAACTGAAAAAAAAGTATATAACCTCCAGCAAAGTGAAAGGTATCCATGGTCTCTAAGGTTTTATTGTTTCCAAATATTTTTTAAAGGTCAATGTTGTGAGTGCAGGGTTTTGTGCAGATTTTCTTAGTTTTCGACGTTTCAAGCATCTCTATGTGCTCATGTATGAGCAAGAGGTTCTTATTATACTACTTGTCAGTTGAGAATTTGTTTCGCTAATAGGCCAACTCAAACCACGCGTGCATCTTGCATCCTTCAGCAGTTGCAAGTACCTTTCTTGGAGTGGGGGGATCAACATTATAGCTGAACAGAGACAATCAAGTAAATTTATGTAAAAGCGCGACCCTCGCTCGCTAGATGGAGAGATCTGGCGACGACCTACATCGACTTGCGGGAATTTTCCCCAACCAGGTATCTCCCACCAGCAGGGCACCGTCATAGCCTGGACAAGCTATAAGCTCGAAACTGGTCTCCAATAAGCGTGGTAGTGTAGTGCATGTGGGTGTGCATATGTGTAAGAGGTGAGGATAGGACAAGGAAAAGAAAGGAAAGATCGCGCGCGGTCCGTGGCCCTTTTTTTAGGGTACTGCTCCGGCATTCGCCCGGTGTTTATCGGAGAACCATAGAAAACTTCCGATCAGAGTAGTCGACAGCTTGATTTCTCCTCGGAACAGAGACTGAACGGGATCTTCTAGCCAGCTAGTGTCGAAAATCCTGCCACAGCCGGGATTCTAACTCTAGAAACTCCCATTCAGAGGTCCTGCATTGAAATTAGTTGATTCCCTGAGCTACCTTTGACGTTCTGATAGCCCCCGTACAAGAAGAGCAGCTTGCAGTGTCGGAACACCGAAATTGAAATATTATTTTTCTGAACTCCAATTACTTTCATATCTAACTCATATTTTTTTAATATAATTGTATATACGCCAACCACCCCTATTAAAAAGTATTTAATTCAAAAATTTTCAAGAGATCTCGCGAGGAAGGAAACTGTTTTCTATGAATAACGGTGGAGAATACTACTTACGTATTTTGCGGAGGAAATTTATTGTGAATTTTTTTCAACCATGCCTCGAAAATTATTCTTGAAATTTTTCAAACCTTTAGCCCTACAGATTTATTACTTTAAAATATGCAATTCTGCAAATTCGAAAATCTGTTCAATAAATATTTTTGTGTATAATTGTTATAATTGATATTTGACGTGATTGGGAATTGCGGTTAATGAAACTTTTATTTCATTTTTAATGACTCATAACTTCTACAGTATTTTAATCCGTATATTATTTGGTACTTACTACGTTAAGATTCGTAGAACCCTTTTCCTTCTAAACCTTCATTCAATTCTTAATTAAGTCATAGAACAGATGTTAGGCATTCTGTTTCATTACATTGTTGGTAAAATTTTTATGTAAACCAAGCCAATAACTACTTCATTCCGCTCATCATTCAGTAACTGCAGTCAGCTGGTGTTTCCAATCTAACGCACGCCTAACAAAAACAGCCGCAAGCGCCTTCAGGTCGTGTGGTTCACGGCGCGCCACGAGGGGGTGCGCGTCAGAAAGTGACCTGACGACTTCTTCTCTCCGCTCCGCTCCGCTTCCAAATAACAAAAAACGCGCTTCCCTCGCCAAGACCTCGTAAAGGCAGGCGGCGGCGGTGGCGCGCCCTATCTGCCCCCGCCCCCTCCCGCCGCCCCCGGCGCCGGCCCCACCTTCTCCCTGGCCTCTCCCGACGGGCCCGCCCTCCGCTCCTCTGCCGCCGCGTCTACTCCGGGCTCCCTCCGCCACAACCCCCGCCCCCGACCCCTCCCCCGCGCACGGCGGGTCGCCTGCCGCCCCGCCCCTCGCCACGCCCGACCATCCACTAACCCTGCCCGCCCCGGCTCCCCGTCTGTAGCTTGGCGCAACGGGGATGGAATCCAGGAGGTTCCCAGTGATACTGTCAACTCATTCGGGGTGCGAAATAAAGGCCAATCGGAACAAGGAGCTGCGCAGCGGGCATGGTGACCACTTGCCTCGACGGCCCTGCGGCTAGGAGCTGCAGTAGGTCCGTATCGCTCTTAAGTTTCTTTCTGCAGGTCGTGAAAGTGACGGAGTGGGTTTGTTCAGAATGCGATGGGGCACGAGGGATAGGGAAGTGCTGACTGGCTGATTGAAAGGGTGTTGGCAAGTGGTAGGGCATCACTTGATAGATGTCCTAGTGAGTGCGAGTGAGAGAGCGGTAAGAACAGTGAATCACCAAGAAGCCAGGTGGAGTCGCATTCATGGTCTTCATAATTGCAGGACCGAGTAGTGCTATGCCTAGTGAGGAGACGGCGACGGTGCGCGTGACGGAGGGGCTGCTGCGGGGGCGGCGCGTGGAGTCCCGCGCCGGAGGAGCCTTCTGGAGCTTCCAGGGAGTGCCCTACGCCCGCCCTCCTGTGGGGCCATTGCGCTTCAAGGTAAGGCTTCCCTCCAGATCTCTTGAGTATACGTAGCACAAAGACACTTTAATCGCGAACACAACCTACGATATTTAGAATAATAGCGTTATCATATTCTGTGAACAAAATGAATCTAACATTTTATAGATTCAATATAAATATTAAGTTCAGAACTGTACAGGAACTCTCTTATTAATATTAGATGTACACGTATTGTACATAGGCATAAACTTCAAAATATTTACAAAGAATCCTAGATAAATCCCGTGCAGAACATTTTCACGCATCCTTCATAAAGTATAGACCTACATAAACACCACAACATAAGTTTCCGTAGATATTTTGTACTCAAGAACCGAACGATTCCCCACGAGATTGGCGAAAGTGCACGTAGTCGAGGTAGGTGACTTTTCGGGGTTTGGATCAGCATGCCATTTGCACAGAGAGGGCGCCTAGATTTCGTGCCGTGGCGTCGAAAGTAATAATCCATGCTGTGGAATTACTTGCCCATTTACCGGTATTTAAATGGGTAATGTCTTATTTCTAGCTACAAGACCAACGATTCACTGTTCATGTTCAACTGTGCACTGCATTGTAACAATATTGTTTCCTTATTAAATTTTAAAAAATGATGACAGTCGCTCTTAAACAATAGTTTAATACAGTAACAACTTAAAAAATATTTAATTGAAAATAAAAGAAACTTACGATTTAATAATTGACTATCTCAGGTAATTTCAGCTGTGTTCTTCGCATCAAAGCAAAGTGAAGGAAATTATGAAAGAAATCTCTTACATTATAATTGACATAAAAATGAAATATAGGCAATTGCAAGAACGCAAGGAATATTTGACAGCACATTTATTATGACCGTTTTTCCGGCTATGAATTTGAATCCGAGATATCGATGAGCAAACGTCTCTGACTGAATGTTACGGACAATCGTAAGATTATTACGGGTCTTCTTAAATAAAATGCAAAGGGCTTAATTTTTAATATGATGCCGTCAACAATAGTGGATAAATAGTGTACGTTAATTTGGTATTAAAAATCTATAATGCAGTCTTGACAGAAATTAGAGCAAAGTAAAAACTGTTTAAAAAAAGAAATTTGAGCTTTGATAATTGTTTATTTTTAATAATAGTTTAGAATAAATAGTTTATTACTGTCATCATCGAAGAAAAATTATTCAGTATTACAACTTTGTGTTTAGCATCACACTAAAAGTGTGATTACATTGCACCAAGGCGAATTACATAATGAGATCTACAAGTAATTATAATTCTTGATGTCCATATCAAATATTTATGCGTAATTAGTTTTAGATTCATATTTCATATCGTCGTGTATCGACCACAAACATTTGCAATATAGTAAACGTAATATCACATGTAGTGTATATAACAGTTCTTCAGGTATTACAATTTTCGCGCTGCGGTTCGAATTGCTCTTTCTCTTAGTTGGGCCCTACTCCTAGAATGTGTCTCGACAGTCACAATTTATTTTTAAAATCCATTTGGAAAGAGTTCTAACTTCTGTAGCGCACGACGCCCTGAAGGAGAGAGTGGTGTCCGTCAGCCAATGAGAATAAGCGTGGACCCCGTGCATTTGTTTACGTGCCGAGTAAAGTTAAAGCGAACGGATCTTGGTATTACTATACTTGGGATAGACAAATATGTATTGCTACACAAAATTCATGCCAAAATTTGATAGAAAACGGATTTTGGAGGATGTTAAAATAGTGTTTTTAAAATGTTTGACAACACAAACGCTTAAATTGCAAACAGCATTATATCCAAAACGGGTATTCTCAGATTTTTCTGACTGATCTCGAAACTTTGCTTTTGTGAAGCATACCTTTAAATGTTTGAGGTTCTTCATAGAAAATACGTAGCACATTTCAATTTTTTCAATGCTTCGTTTTTCTTTGTTTTTACCTAAAGAGAGCAAGGTGCGCTTATTAAAATGAAAAAGCTCTGATTATCGTTAAATTTTGTTGAATTTTTTAATACTGCAAGTTGAAACTGCAAGTTGCAAGTTTTAATACCGCTACTGCCCTGAGTACTTGGTGGCGGAGGACGTCGTCCTAGTGACACTCAACTACAGGTTGAGGTCCCTGGGTAAGGTTGGACGGCATTGTCATGCAATCGTTCGTTCTAAGTGTTGCTTTCAAACTGTTTAAATAGCTTGGCTTAATCCGTATTGAAGGACTTTTTCTTAAATGTTATATTGTACTTCATTTTTTTTATTAGTTAGATTTGAGAAATTTGTTTATTGAATACCTGCGTAAATGATTCTAAATGTACAGAAACTATCGAGGTTCGCCTCTATATCAATAAATGCGAATCACAATTACTCATATCTGTAGATCAATATATGATGTATTCGAAAGTGTTTTATGATGAAGAATTGGCACACGATTGCTTAACGTTTAGAAATACTAAATTTGTAATGCATTTTATGTAACCATTGCAAGTAATAAGAGAAAGTTTGTGCGAAGTTGTGGCCCTACTTTCTTTGTAGGATGCGCAACCACCCGAAGCGTGGCAAGGAGTGCGTGACGCCTTGAAGGACGGAAACATCTGCACCCAGCCCAGCGAAACCCCTTCGCAGGAGATCATCGGGAGCGAGGACTGCCTCTACCTCAACGTGTACTCTCCGCGCTTGCCGCCTCTCAAAACAGACGCGTTGCCCGTCGTCGTGTCGCTGCACGGAGGGGCGTTCAAGTACGGTGATGCAGGAGTGAACCGCTACGGCCCTGACTACTTGGTGGCGGAGGACGTCGTCCTAGTGACACTCAACTACAGGTTGGGGCCCCTGGGTAAGGTTGGACGGCATTGTCATGCAATCGTTCGTTCTAAGTGTTGCTTTCAAACTGTTTTGTTCCGGGCCCAGGATAAATCACAAAAATGAAACAAAACTTTGTAGAGATCTCTGTATTTCATAGTAATCCTTTTGATTCAAGTCGTCATTCATACCGACAAATGGTACGAAACTACTTATTGACATGCATAATCGAGTTATAGAATGTTGATGAAGCAGAGAATGTCATTACGTAAAATAAAGAGACTAAGACCGTGTAGTCCGGCAGATACCTACTTGCACAGAACTAATCAGTCCGCCATTGTTATCTTTTAACCAACCGCGATGGATCTCTTAACAGTACTGAATCGACGTAAGTTAATGATGTGTATGTAAGTTGTCAATTTTCAATAGTTAAGTTGCAATGAAATCAAATAATAATGTGAAAACTCTAGAAAAAATTTTATAACAATTTTAACATCAACCCGCTAAATTGTAGAACATTAAACATAATCTCTCTACTCATAAAAAATAGAATATTGGTTGTGGGAAATGATGTTTTGTAACCCAGTTGTTTTTATTTTATTATTGATGAGATACATTTTGATTGTCTTACAGGCTTCCTGTTCATGGAAGACGCATGCCCTGGCAATGCAGGACTGAAAGATCAGGTTGCAGCCCTGCGTTGGGTGAAAGAGAACATTAAGGCCTTTGGCGGAAACGCTGAAAATGTCACCTTAATCGGAATGAGCGCTGGCGGCGCCTCCGTGCACTTCCAAATGCTTTCACCCATGACGAAGGGTGAGATGGTTCATTTATATTCATATTATTACTATTTTTGTAGGTTAAACAAACATGAGGAGAGGTCACACAAACAAATATTACGCGAAAAATCATCAATTAATTTTTTTTAAATACTCTCTAATCAGCATTTTCTTTAATTTTCCAGTTTACAACACATAAACCTTGTTGAACTGAAGGATTTTTTCCTCACCCGAAAAACTTCTAGAGGTGATTTCAGGGTAAAAATTATGGAAATACAGAGACGTATACATATCTTTAAATGTGTCGTTAATCTGGTAAAGACAATTCAATAACGGTCTGTTTTCTCTCAGAGCAGCACACTGTGTCTTTCAAGAAAAGTAAGAGCCTCAAGACACTTCCCTATGTTTGTTCTCAATGATGGACACACAGTGATCCCATGAATGTGATTACATTATACTATACAAAATTAAGAGAATGGTCCGAATCAAAACTAAATTATTAGATTCATGTACAGAGGATCATTTGTTTATTTTCCGTGATTAAACCTTAATATAGTTGATGATTTTATATGGCCAGGATCTAATCAGGACAATTCTAAGGTTTTAAGTTTCCCATATTTCACATTAGCTTAAAAAAGGTAACCTGAAGTCTTAATGAAAGTGATAACTTTATGAAAATACAGTATTTGTGCAAACAACTAAATAAACAATTCTACTGCCAGGAAAACCCTTACATTTACTACAAACACTTGAAACTTCCACAACACTTCAACGCGTTTGAAAACAATTGAAGCACCGCTGTGTCACTTTCGTCGTAGCTTCATTTTTGGCTGACCGTTCGTCTTGTCATCAAGAATAAAAGAATTTGTTTGTTATGTAAAACCAACAGACACGTTACAATAATTGTACAGAGGGCCTTGAAAGTGGAGAAAGCAAAGGAGATTTTTACCTCCCTAACATCCCTCCAGCACTAAGTAGACGCAGGACTGCATAAAATACGAGTATAGAGGTTAAAAAAATAGTCGGAAAATGAGTCAAATCTGACAGTCTCATTCAATGAAATTATTTTTATTGTCAACCTTGCCATCTCCACCAAACCCAATCCGCCTCATACCGTCATTCTTTCTTATTTCCACCCTTCTCGTTGGGCCCCGCTCAGCATCTCATGTTCCAGCCCGCACGTTTTCCTGTCTCATTCGTACTGATGCTCCGCAGACCTTAATGCTTAGACCAGGCCTTTACAACTAGCTTCAAACGAACGCGAGAGCCAGAAGCAAAGAAATGTTTTCCTCAATTTTACTTACTCAGAAGATGAATATTGAAAAATCAGTGTTTCTTTAAACATTTAGAAACATGTACTCCAAATTTCAAGTTTTCAGCTTCATCAGTTTTGATTTTGCGCTTATCGGACGGTCGAATATCTAATAAAACTAGGTGAAACAACAGTCATAGAATAAGCGTGATCAGTAAATAGATCACACATCATAAAATTTACTTTAAGTTCATTCCTTTCCCGAAGGCTACAGAATCTCTTGGACAAATGAGTCTCAGAAATACTGGTGATTTCGTGGACACTTCTGCCCTAACTTCCATGTCATTGTATGCTATCATTGTAGAAGTAAAATGTCCAATGATTTATATTTAATAAATCTTTAATAAAGTTATATCTAGAAAAAATAGAAAGAATTCAGCGTAGGGCAGCTAAATTTACTTCCAGAGACAAGAAAATGGCAAAATGGGATTCACGCGAATATAAGCGATCAGTAGCAAGGCTCTGCGCTTTGTATAAAGCTTATAGAGGTCATCCAACTTGAAAAGGAATTAATCGGCGGCTAAGTAATTCTACATACATCAGTAGGGGGGATCACAGGCACAAAATGAATTTAAGACCGCAGAGATCAGATGTGGGAAAATTTTCTATTACAAATCGAACGATAAAAGAATGGAATACATTGCCTGCAAAAACCTTTGAACCCTTTCCTCGTAGCGTACAACAGTTTAGGAAATTAATGTAGGGTATTACTAAATAAATGAGGAACTTAGCTGACAATAATAGGTTATAGAGCGATACGTAAGAAATATATTGCGAAGTCAGGTGTCGTGCAGTGTAGAACAGAAAAATAATGTAGGAAGCGATTGAAGGGTCATTATGAAGTGAAGTGGAGTGCAGGTGAACAAAAATTCAGTGCGGAGTTTAATTGTGATGTTCTTTTTTTTAAGGTAATTTTAAATGTATTATGAATTAGACAGATTTTATATCATTATTATTTTTATTATTATTGTATTTATTATTATTATTATTATTATTATTATTATTATTATTATTATTACATTTTCCGTATGTGTTGTATTATCTTATTTTTGTAATTAGCTGCCTTTGGGTTATGCCCATTTGCAGTTTAAATAAATCGATCTTATCTTATATGAGGGCACATGATGTAATGATTTTGCGAGACGTGACGACGTTGCTTGGCCCGCAGGCCTCTTCCACCGCGCCATCGCCATGAGCGGCTCGGCCCTGAGCCCGTGGGCGCAGCAGACGGAGCCGGCAGACACCACCCGCCGCCTGGCGCGCGCCCTCGGCTGCGCCAGCGACGACCCGCACGCCATCGTCGACTTCCTCAAGGGCGTCGACGACAAGAAACTGCTACGCGTTGCCTACACCACAGACGTAGGTGGAGAAGGGGGCGCCGCATTCGGGAGACGCGGAAAACCGACTTTTAGCACCTCAAAGTTACTTTGCCGGTCCGGATGGCCGAGGTCGCTAAGGCAGCAGTGCCGTCCCGCCTCGGACATGGTTCTATTGTGTTCGTCCTTTCTCCCACTATCATATCGTGTCCTCCTCACAGTTACCATACCGTTTCAGGCAATAGTGGTCGCTAATGACCTAGAAGTTGATGCGACCTTAAATAACAAAAAAAGTTACTTTCTTTTTATCGTCCTTCAAATATTGGAGATATTGATGGGAGTTTTATCATGTTCACAGAGTGTGTCATGAGAGCATTAATCCCTAACTTTCAATACGTCACCGTCAAGCAAATGTGATCTATGGCTTTTGTTGAAAAATTTTGTGACGTATCGTAAGTATGCGAAGGAGCAGCACAGTTCACTGGTATTGCAATTTTCTTTTAATTCTTAAAAAAATCATCAGAGAACTGAATAAACGCTTACATTCAAAAATACCATGTAAATCGTTAATACAGTGCATCATGAGTTTTAATAGTTGTTCTGTCTTATAAATTAGGCATATTTCAACCAGACATATTCTTTTAAAAAATCGTTTTATCTTTTGACAGTGAAGTCGTTCTTCAAAATATATGAGATATTTATAATGTTAATAATTCTACTTTTTTGACCAACTTCTCTTGGAAATAAAAAAAATTAAGTACTTTTTAATGAATTCAAATAGGAATGATAATACCAGTTCAGACCAGTTACACCGTAATTCGAGGGCCAAGTGCATATATAGACGTCCATCTATACTAAAGGAATGTATATTGACATCTATTTCCAAGCTGTGAACAATGTGTAGATTGTTAATGTTCCTTTGCAGTTGGATCTTTACTGATCTGGCATTCACCTCCCTATACGCTTATTTCTACCTTAGGAATAATCCTTATTCCATTACATCCAGGCGAAAGGAAACTCGCTGAAATTTGTGCCATCGGCGGAGGTGGTGGTGAAAGGAGTAGAGACCTTTTTACCTGCCCCTGCATACGAGTTGATCAGCGCTGGGCGCCATCACGATATTCCATTTATGATGGGATTTACTGGAAAAGAAGGTCTTCTTCAGCTCATATGTGAGTAAATCCCGTATCCAATTTAATTCTTCTTCCATTCATTTCGTTCATTGTTTATTTTGCCTCTCATCTTCCTTTTCAGTTACTGATGTTCGCAAGCCAGACATTGCCCAGGAGGTGGATCGAAATTTGGAGGATTTGCTTTTACCTGAATTGCCTCGCCTCCCCAAGGGTTTTAACAAAGCGGCCGCAATTAAAGCTTTGCGAGATTTCTATCTGAAAGGAAAACCCATCTCCAGAGACACCCTGCAGGCATTCGTTGATGTGAGTAGACAATTCAATGTCAAATTGACGAAGATAAGAGTACGAATATTTTCTTGCCTCGAAATAGTTTTGTTTTCATTAAACATCATTTCTATACTATTTAAAGTAGGAGTCATCAAGCATCTTTAAGTTAAAGTACCGTAAAACTACAGTAATTAAGACAATTGTCGTGACTTCTTCATTAGGAATAGAAAATAGTTTTGATGAAGAAAAGTATGTTTAGTTCCTTCAGAAGAGAATTTCTTTCTTAAGTTAACTAAATATTTTGACTCTAGTTCTCGCAGAGGTAACTATTTTGTACAGAAAAGTTTGTCATTGGAAATATGATATAGGACACAAATCACTCAACGGGTATATATCTAAAAAACAGCTATGTTAGTTCGAAAATGGTCTGATAAAGTAGATCTTCAAAACAAATTTTACATGACGTTTTAGAAGTATTTGTAGTGAGAGAATACCAGAAATAAACAACGCGGAGCTTCTAACAGCCTACACAATAATAAGTTTGGTGAACGAACAATATTCTAGCACAGCAAATATACTCCTTTTGAAATTAGTTAGTGATTTTATTGGTCAGAAAGTCTTTCGATCACTTTCAATAAAGTCCGGATTTTTGCACTGGAAACAACACATTTTTCTATGATTTTTGCCTCTTCACCGAAGCAAAACTTTAGAATAAATGTGTGAGTATGTTCGATGTTAATCAGAAATGTGTTTTTCAAGCTGTTCTTGAAGTCTCTTGTTTTGCTTCATGATTGAAGATACATAGACTACTTTGGCATATCATTTCATTGACTTATGTCTTCTCCTCCCATTCTGTTATCAAACTGCATTGTAAAGGTTTGCAATTTTACTCCTGTAATCTTTCACTATTCATTGAATTCGTATTAACTCTGCTTAATGACACTGAAGAACAAAAACAATAAAGCCTGATAATTGAATTTTACCGAAAATTATTTGCAAGCCTATTTCACAGTATCTTACATCAACTAGAAGTACCAGATAATATTTTACAAAATTTGGATATTACAAAAAATAGGTGTATAATTTTCTACTATTAGTGACAAATATCACCAAACTTGTTGCTTCTCGTTTAATGCAATATGAATATACATTTTTCAGATGATGTCTGACATTAATTTCTGTGAAGGGATTACATATTCTTTGAACTGTATGGCAAAACATCACACCGCACCTCTCTATCACTACGTCTTCACTGTTGATGATGTTTTGAATTATATGAAATTCCTAACCCATCTGAACGAGAAAGGTAAATATCAAATATTGATTACATTTTTGTGTAGAGTTCAATATTTTGTAAATTCTGTGTTATAAGCAACATATTATTTAAACGGTTTCATTCAATGCCATTTGTAGTTTTGTTTGCGCATCGTTGCGAAAGAATTACACACACATGCCCTTTAGATAGATTGAATGCAAATAAATTGATTTGTAAGATTATCACCAATTTGGCTTTTTTCTCGAAAACTGGCCGTTAAACAAGTTTACCACATTTGGTAGCAACAAGAATTTTATATCAACTAAGACAACACACAATATCTTCAAATATTCATAAATGACAAAATATTAACCAAAGAAATCTATGTTTTTCGAATTGGGTGATAAAAACTGTAATAATATTGTTACTGTAATAATAATTTTTAAAATGTATTACTTATTATTATTATTATTATTATTATTATTATTATTATCATATTTCATTTATTGAAAATGAAAAATTGTGTTTTTAGGGGGGAATTCAAATTTCTCTAGAGTGATTATCATTCAAACGTTTATATTTAATCTTAGGATAATTCATAACTTTCTAACTACATTTCGGAACTAAAAATACACCTCTGATTTTCCAGGAGCTTGCCATGGCGATGATTTAGCATATGTGTTCGACACAGCTGCCTTCCCAGCAAAGTTACCGCCTGATTCCTCCGCTCTAGTAGCTCGTAAACGCATGGTTCGCCTTCTGAGTAATTTTGCAAAGACTGGGTACGTGATGATTAATTTAACTGTCATATCCTCAAACATTAGATGAAAAGTCTAATCACATAAACTACTTGGTTTTCTATACAAAATTATTACGTATATATATTTTTTGCAGTGTTCCATCATCCAAACAGGACACACATCTAGGCGTGGAATGGAAATCATATAAAACTGATGAAAAGAACTATCTGGAAATAGGTTCGTCATTGAAAAGCGGCACCAACCTCCACGCCGAGCGTGTAGCGTTTTGGGAAAAATTTTACAAACCTCATTAGTTATTCTCACTTCAAAATCTTTTTTACACTAATTTCTGTTTGGACAAGCGTAAAAATTTTCTGTGAACATCATTGAAGAGATTGATATCAATTATTTTCAAATTGAGCAGTTAATACGTAATTGTGCATAATAGAAATTACTAGACAATTACAGAAGATAGGCTCATAATTAATTTAATAATATGTAGACCTCTATTTTATAAACTATGAAATGATTTTGGTAAAAGATAATTACTCATAAAATTTTTAAAACGCAGTTTGTTTGCAGTACCAAATAGTCCAAAGACTGGAATATTATTGTAACAAAAGGACTTCACTACTATAGTTTCCTGATGTTTGTTTTAATATCTGTAAATATTTATATTACGAGTAGAATAATACTTTTAAATAATACAATTACAAAAAGAAACACAGTGCTTTGTTCAAAGGGGCATTTTCTAACATGTTCATATTAAACCTATTTTGTATTTTTAAAATATTAATTTTTTTAAAATTCTCTTTGTTATAAACGAAAAAGAATTTGAGTACGACTCAGTAAGTTGTTCTTATGACTAACAACTTTTTGTAAATTAACATGCCCCAGTATTTTAATGAAATGAATTGCGGCAAAACCTAAAAACTCTGAAACAAAACTAGTTTGTAAAAAGAAATATTGTATTAAAATATACACGTAATGCAAATTGCCAATAAACTATTTTTGGGGATTCTGTTCCCTTAAATATTAAGACTTATAGGACAATGATTCTTAAGTTGATAGGATACAAAATTTAATAATTTTGGATAAACTTTTGTAACTGATGAAACACACGAAAATGTTAAAGAAAGAATTTGCATGTTGACAACAAGGCACGTCGCTAAGAGCGCTCTTGTGCCGATTCACCTAAGATATAGTGTTAACCTACGACGCGCGTTAAGTGACACATGTGCGTTAAGTGACAGGAATCGATGAGCCTTAATGAAGCTGACGTCATCAGCGTTAGGTGACGCGCGTCAACACAACGTTCGTGTGAGTGAGGTCAGAGATATTTCAAAGAACTAAAAATATATAAAAGTCCGATGCATATTATGAAGAGATGTTAACCCTTAATAATCCTCCAAGGCATAAATTGTATTATATACTAGTTAAATTATAAAAAAAGTGATATACAGAGACATAATGTTGTTTTCAAAAAACATGTTTTATATATATTTATCAACTTTACCGTTTTAAACAAAAAATTACCTGCGGTTATGCAATTTTTAGTTATTAGAATAAATTCGACTTGACAGTAAAACAATAGAGCAATTTCGATAAAATAACAATAATTTCAATAAAATTTAAAATCCTTGTGAGCTGTAATTGAAACACACATAATCAACAAGTAATTAGAGAGTTGGAAAATACTAATTGTACAACGTGATGCTAATATTAATAATAGATTAAGGTCTTCGGCACAATTTTAAAAGTGGTCTGGATTTTCAGGTAATTGTAAAGAACACGCTTAAGGCAAATGTAAATGAGTTACAGAAAGATTAAAAGAATTAAAATAGAAAAGTGGATGAAACGGAAACAAAAATAATATGTTAAATTTGTTTAAGATATTTACAAAATAATTGATATTAAAATGTATGAATGTTGTGTAAGCATTAATAGAATATATTGAAATTTTATTGAAATATGTGAAACGGAAAATAAAAATACTCGTAATGAATATTTCATTGTGTTACTGTCATTTAAATTTTAAAACAATGAAACGAAAGAGAAAAGAACATTAAACAAGAGAATAAATGGGAGTGAAAAGAAATCTGATTTATATTTCCAGTGTCGAAAAGAGTAAGGAAGACTTCAGTTTACGGACGAATCTTTTATGTCAGTGTTCAAGTGAAACGTTTGATCAAGATCATGAAAATTTTTTAAAAAGTAATAAATGAGTTTATAAATTATTACTATTTTTTAATCGAACTACTCTTACCAATTCATGATTGCTAATTTAATGTTTCGCAATGAATAACCTTTGAATGCATCATGGGGCAATACTGATTCCTGATCTTTTATTAAATACAAATTGCTGTTTTTGACTTGATTGTGATGCTGAATCAAAAGCACGCAACCCAGAGAACGGGACCGAATTTATAATAGAAAAATAGAGCTACTCGTATACGTACTGGGACTTCTTAATAATTAACATCTTAGCTTCAGAGTAAATTTTACTTTTATCTTCATTTATATTAAACATATGCACACTGTACCTCTTCAGAACATACACATATATTAAGTGATTGTTACTCCAAAGTAGCGTTTTCAAGTTGAAGCCCCCTGTTATGCTAGCACTGAACTCTAAAAATGGCATATTTTATTCTCTGCAGTAAAATCTTTAAAACCGCTGCTAATTATACGAATGTCATTCTCTAGCACCCTTCTATTCTTCTTACTGAATACCAGGTCCCGTTCATCCGGTACAATGATTTCCTATAAATTGCTGAAATGTTCCCATAAATTTTACGAACATTTGTATACTTGTCCTCAACGATGTCCGCGTGGAAAAAATAATGTTTTTGAAAAATGATTTGGCATGTCTTTCAACCCAGCCTCACATATTTGAAAAGTGAGCACACGTTTGGGTCCACGTATATTACTCGTTGAGGAAAAGTACATTAACAGTCTCATAAACAATAAAGGGTGGGGGTAGCAAAGAATTTTAATGTCGTTTTTACGCCTCCGTATACATAAGTACATACGGAATAATATACGTAGTATAGGAAACGTTTTGTAATGCTGTGCGAACAAACGGCGTATTTTCGGCAGCAAAAGTTAATTGCCGGGCTCTGATAACGAAAAAGTGGAAACATTCAGTTTCTAAATTAAGAAAAAAAGTCCTATAACACGTCCTGTAGCCAGAATCCCTGTTTTGTGAGTCCTTGATACCTAAAAACCAATCAAAGACCGAACGCCCGTCCGACTGTCTGTCCGTCGGTTCGTCCGTCAGTCTGTGAACACCACTAGTGTCTGAACCACAAGTACGATTCTTTCCAAAACGGTTATTCCCGGTCGATTTGACTCCACTCGAGGTGCCGTGATTTTGAAAAACTTTCTTCAAACTTTGGAGACACTTCACATAAAACCCCACGGATTTTTTGAAAATTTTCTCAGTAATGGCTACAATTTTTTTCTTTAAATTTCTTCTAAGAATAAGTAAAATTTACTTATAAAGGCGGTAGAGGTCCGATTTTCACGGTTAACACTACATTTTCGAAAAGTGCAAAAGTTTGTATTTTTCGGCAGCTTCCTAGAAATATAAATTTAAGTTAAGAGACTTTTCCTTTTAATGAAACGTGTTTTCCATTGTTGTTAGTTCTTTCATTAAGTTCTTATACAGTTTTTGAAGAGTACAAAGGGCTCTCTATAAGATGACAAACGCCATATTGCTCTATTCTTCTGTTTCTTCAAAAATTAAAAAAAATATTTTTTTGGCCTGTCTCTAACAATGTCAATACTTTTTTAGCGGCGATATTTTCACATTATTGTATTTATGAATACATGTGCTTTAAATAATATCAGATACAATTTCTCGAAAAGTCAAAATTTTCAGAAACGCTCAAACGCGATTTTCTTAAATACGGCTGGAAATTTTTTGGAACCTTTGGGAACGGATAGGTCTAATTACAGTGTTCAATATGACGTAAAGTTCGTTATGAGATTTTTTGTTTTTTAAAAAATTACTCAAACGTAAAAAAGTATCTCATGCCGTTAATATCACTTTTCCAGTTACTTGTTAACACTATTGTACTTTTGAGTGAAAGTATTTCAAATGACTTTGAATGAAATTTTTCGAAAACCCAAAACATGTCTGTGAAAAAGAGCTTCAAATTTTGAAAATACAGTAGCGCTTAAATGCCATTTTCTCAAAAACAGCTCCATATTTTTCGCAGAAAATTGCCATTTAAGACGAGGTTTTACTGTTCTTCAATATTCTTAAAATAATGTTTCGATTCTACTATTAGGAAACCGAAAAATTGGGAAATTAAAAAAATAAACAGTTCTTTGGCGGCAAAAGATGAGTGTGTAGGCATGAGTGTGTTGCTTGCATGAGTGTGTAGCGAGGCAGAATACCTAGCCGATTCCAAAGGAAATAGAAAAACGAATATGGAAAAATCTGTGCTATTCTGTAGAACCACTAGTTTTCTGTTTGTTTAGGTAAGGAGTCACAGTTTCATCATATGACTCTTATTGTTAGTACCTTTCCGAATATTTCAGAATATTTTCCTTTATACTCTTTTAGGAATGTTCTAAAAAAATAGAAATCTTCCCCATTTGTAATCACTTTGTCAAAACACCAGCATTTTCTTCCTAACAGGCCTGCCTGTATTCATGTTGGAAAACAATTTCAGAAGCTGTCGATTTAGAGAACAGTTGTGCACTCAAACAACAAAGTGTGTATTGAATTACTTCTATCAACGTGATAATCTGTACCATTAAGATAGAACAGAAAGTATAGAAAATCTTCAAAATATTCATACTTTTGCCATATCTCAAAACTTAAAACAACTTTTGGAATAGTCAAAAAGGCATTGCAATACATTATGCAGTGTACGTGTATCATTATTTTTTAATGTATAAAATTTACAAAAGGATGGATAATAATTTTCTTGAGTTTAGGCCAATTGTAGAAGAAATAATTCTACATGCTTTTCTGTTGGTAGAAATTGTTCTTCTACAACTGGCCTAAAGTGAAGAAAACGAATATCTATTCTTTTCGTAATTTGGAGGTCACGAAACACTGTTAAATCAAATTAAATTTTCCTCTGCAATCCATATAGCAATTTATTGTGACGTACACATTTAATGCCCACCCACATTGGATTTCTCCAAGCCCCTTAATGTCATTGGTATGTGACTGTTAAAATAACATAAGAATGCGCAAGTACAGAAACCACCATATATTCACACAAAAGTGTTTTACGTTATCAGAGCACGTATGAAATCGCGCTGCTGAGCTGGAACTCGAGGTGTGCTTGAAAAGTAAATTTCTGTCTTAAAAATATTTGTTCAAAACGTAGAAGATAAAGGATGGCACAATATTTCCACAATCAGAAGAAGTCTGTAAGTCGTCAAAAATTCTTAAATGAATATGAGAAATTATGAAATTCATGAAGAATTTTGGAATGCTCTCTCAGATGGGTTTTTCACGTTTATTGACTTCTACATGTTGTAACTATTGTATAACTATCATCGGCCATTTTAATTTGTGCAGAACTGTGCGTACTCTAGGGAAATATTACTTCAAAATATCAGAGCATCTTAAGAGCTAGGGAGCCCATAATTTACCATTCTGTGAGCGTTAATCTACGTTCAAGGAACAAGTCGTACGCAGCTCCAGTATAACAATGATTCATTAATCAATAAAATAAATCATCACGTGTCTATTATTGAGACGCTCCGCTCTTCTGGTAATGCCCTACTTGGGCGCATAATAATCGACGCAAACACAACTCACACGTGGAATCGATAAGTCGATTAATCTCGGCGACGATCTCTGGCTCACAAACATCTATCAGGGGAATAGAATCGTGCGCAGTTGCTCAATACCCAACCGTGTTCCTCCCACACCAGGAATTGCTCTGCTCACCTGTGCCTTGTCTACAATCTCATTCCGCTGTTAGTAATGGGTTTGCTTCAGAATTGATCCAATTATGGGTATTTGGATGTAACGGTATTACCATTCAGTGCAGGCAGAATTCACAATGAAAGTTGTTGAACTTTTAAGTGCTAAATTCAGCTGAAATCGCCGCCATTAAAATAACAGAGCTAATTTATCATATCTAAAATTATTTCAAGTTTTACTTCCTTTTTTATTATTTATAGGTAAATCTCCCAGCGTTTTGTGAGCAGACCAGTACAGTGTCACATCAGCATTCACAGGATAAATATCTCATTAATTTTTACGTCAGTGAAGTGTTTATTATTCATACCAAAAATCGCAGAGTGCCAGTTGCTTTCAGTATTCACGGTCTCTACACTTGGCATAATTTCTCTCATCGGGTGGTTGGGTCTTATTACAAAACAAGAAATTGATTGAGTTACCCAGATTTCTGAAGTTAGTTTAAAATATTAGGAAATTATTGTTGTTTATTAAATAAGTGGCTACAATAGACCAATATTTGCGGGCGATATTATAACACAAGGATTGTATCCCAATGTACGGATCGTATCTACTTACATTGTATCTACTTATTACTTTCTCGCTACGGAGTAGAGATAAAGTTCTGTGATGCTGCTCGAAAAGACGACGACTTTTTGGCAGAAAAGTCTTATTACAAGGCCTTGCTAATGAAAAAGTGGATAAATCTAGTTTCTAAATTTATAAAACAATACTCTATCACGTGGTGAAGCTAGAATTTCATACCTTGTCACCGAAAACTCGAATGACGGCAATATGTCTGTTCGTCTGTCTGTGGACACCTCTAGCGGCTAAACCGTTCAGCCGATTTTCTCCAAAATTAATATTCCCCGATCGATCTGGCTGTTGTCGTGGCCCCTTGAATTTGAAACCTATGTTTAAGTTTTGGGGTACTTTACATGAAGCCCCTGGCACATGTCTCAATTTTCAACAGAATGACTCAATTGTTTTTAATTAAATTTTGTTGTTGGATAGTGTGAAGGACGTTTAACAGAATGGTGCACTGGAATCTCCTGTTCATTAAAAACAATGGTTTTTCGAAAATTAAAAATATTCATAATGTTTTCGGAGTGTCCCGGCAACTGAAATATTAAACATAAAGATTTTTCCTAATGAAATATATTCCTTAAAGATAGATTTTTGAAATTAGGTTACGTACAATTTTTCGAAAATTTGAGAACTTTTCGCATGATTTGTTTGAAAATACAGGGCAGGAAAGTACGTGCTGTTTATGCACCACTACTGAATGCATTGCTTTCACTTGCAGTCTGCTGTAGTTCTAGCAGGTGATGGAGTATGCGATGAACTGTATAAAATGGTTATCAACGATATTGAAGTTAAAGGAAAATATATGGTTATAAGTATTCCGGAACCAATAAGAAATGATATTTTTACAGTTTTAGGAAGAAAATATGAATGGAGTGAGTTTATACGGAAAATATTTAGCATTGAGGCCCCAGAAGATTGACCATCCGCAATTATTAAATGGATGTCAGGGGAAATGTTATGTACTGTATGTTTTTGTCAATACGTTATTGAAGATACCTAGAATTGTTACTAAATATCTTAATTTTGAACATCACAGAGAAATACACAGGCAGATGGGTTCCGAAGCAGATACGGTGCAACACGGTGGATGGCGTTTCAGATGCAGAGACGTACACGCAAGAATCCATGAGTCAAAAAACAAATATTGCGAGAAATCTTTTAGAGTGCGATGGACAGAAAACGTGTCTGTCGGTGATGGGTGAAGTGACATTAGCACAACTACCAAATATTGGAATAATTATTTTTGAAACCGTAAAAATTGTAATTAGACCGTAAATATCCATAAGAGAAGAAGAAGTCATTATATTTTTGTTACATTAATATTAAAAATAACTTTTTGGACGACGAAGATTGGTTCATATCGTTTGAAATAATAGCTGCTATGCGGACATTATTAACTGACGAAAATATTTTTTCATCCTATGAAGGAGGATAGATAGATAATCGTGTGTATAATATATATTATATATATATATATATATATATACACAGATATATGCATAACAAAATTATGCAGATAGCATGTAACATTACATATATTGCAAATCCCCAATACATATATACTACCTTTTAGGTAATTAAAAGTTTAATTACTGCATTAATGTACTGCCATAAAACACTCATACACACACACAACACACACACACACAATATTATATATAATATATATAATATATATATATATATAATATATATATATATATATTATTGTGGACGTACTGGGAAGGTGTAGTCTCACGACAAAATTAAATTATAAAAAGGAGGGTACATTTTGCTGAATGGGCTGCCAGGGTTTGGCGCTGCATTGGAAGATGATCATAAGAAATTCTTTTCGTGCATTTAAATATTTTAATAATAGAAACATCTTTACAAAGATTATTTAGAATACGCAATGCGCAAGGCGCTTTGTAATAAATGCACAATCAACGCTACCTTGATGCTGTTAATAAGCCACTGATGGCTAGAGACGAGCGGGCAGCCGTGGCAACGGCGGCCGGCGTCTTCGGCAACCTTCGGTTCGCCCGAAGTCCGTAGGGAATCGCTCTCCCTCGGCGATCGACTCCGCTGGCCCCCAACGCAAACGGCCGATGAGTTCGCCGGACTCCCCCCCAGCGGTACAAACATGTCTCACTGCACCAACGCGAAGACGCGCGATTGACCGCCCGTCAGCCAGTCCAGTCTCAGCAATCCCCTCTCAATCTCGCGCGAATTGTCTGCACAGTACGGCCGCTGATGCATTACACCCCCGGAGAATATAAAACGTGTCCTTCGGCCACACGAATTCCTGTATTAATGTTTTGATTTCGGTTCTGGTGCGCCCTTCCACTTTCATAATCATCTGATTATTAACTTTCATCAAATCTAGTCTCTCACTTAACATCCACATTCAATCAAACTGTTCTTAACACCACCATAAATTTGTTTGATGCAGCACTGCCCCGATGTTTCACTCACGGCCTTCTGCGCACACTGCCCCAACCCGTCGCTCGCCCTCGCCGCCAACCCCCGATTTGACCGTTGGTGGCAGCGGCGGCGGCGGTTACCTGCTTGATCAATTCAGTATTATTTTAATTATAAACTATTGATCAACTTTGATTATTACAATACAGAAATGTTCTTCGTTTCAATATACATTAATAAATTCTTGGCTATCTGCTATCTGCCCTGAGAAGCCTGCGACATGTCAGGCGAAACGTTCGGCCTCCCAGCAACGACGGCGGCGTCTCTCGATAGCGAGAATTTATGGATTCGTGCGCGGAAGCACATACATTCAACCAACACTATACATAATATATACTTATCAACGTACACAGACCTAGTGAACCCTGTCATATAATAAACCTTTTCACTCATAAGAATATTTAGACAAACATGAATAAACATTTTTATATATAACACACAAGACAAACTAACACAGCTACCCAGCGATTATGATATGTAGGGAACACATTAACCTCGGGCATAATCGGAAAAAGTGCGTTTAAAACACTACAATATATATTTTTTGTTTAGAGGGTCACGAGTTCACAGAGCACAGGCCACACATATGCGGAAGTGAGGTGCGAAGCGTGGCGGACACGTGGGCGCAATTATGAACAGTACCTGACTCAAAATCTAAGTAAAATTAATTTGAAGAGATAGCGAATAACATTCCCCGACAAAATTAAGAATACATATTTAGTTCTGAGAAAATTAAATTTTAATCTCAACGTATAGCACTATTTAAAATGTTGTATCAAGCACAGTACTTTGGCCGTGTAAGTAGTAGTTAAAAGTTTGAAGATACTAGCATTCTGAGTTAAAGGATCAGTCTGGATTTTTTTGCCTTTTTAAATTTAAATTTCCCAAGTGAGTACGTTCGCACGCACCTAGAAGATCGTATTTTATTCATGAATTATCCATAAAAAGTTCCTTTTCTTAATACGTCTTTTATATTTTTCATTTGAACGTTATATTCTCTGAATAATTGAAAACAATTTAATACAATAAAATAAAATATTAATTTTATCATACATCATTCTTTGTTGAATTTGCTTTCAAAAATGGTGTTTTGTTAAATGATTGTAGGTAAATGAAGTATGGGTAAATGGGGTTAATTCTCTTCTCATCTTGTAAATTTTAACGTGGTAACAATCAACCAGCATAACCCAAAACTTGCAAGAAAATAACTGGCGAAGTGCTGTTTGAAAAATACCAACTGTGGTGGGGCCCGATGCCGCCGCAGGAGTATTTGCATGCAGCGCTCGCGACGGGGCAGGAAGTCGACGGGGGAGTTGGCGACGGGGCAGGCGGCGAGTTGGACGCGAACGAGCCGGCACGAATTGCGCACAAAAGCACTCGACTGCGCACAATGCAGAGGGGGCGGGCACCAGGCCAAATCAAATTCGCAGTGTCGAATAAAGCAAAGCGACCGCTTATTACGATTCCTTTGAGGCGTGGGCGCTGCCTCGGCGACGGGAGAAACCGCAATCGCCGCCCAGCCCTCCCTGCTCCTCCCCGCCCGCACCCACCCCACCCCACCCTGTTCTGACGCCCCTTCCTTTTTCCATTCGGCGAATCCTACACAGCGCCCTCTGCCCTCACGAGAAAGCGACTTGGCAATTTTATTCTCTCAAAATTCAAATACAGCAAAGAGCACCTATCAAACGACTTCATTTATCGATTATGTATTTTTCGCGGGCGGTCTAGCTACTTTATACACTAATCCCGTCCGTGTAGCGCATGTCATCTTCCAGAAGGGGTGTTGTTTCCCGCCGCCGTCGATCTCTCTCTCCATCATGCAGGGGCTGATTTTCCCCGAGAGGTTCGAAATTCCGGCACCATCAAATCTCGAACACAATGGCCTCTTAATCTGAGATGCAACAGGAAATTAGCAACTGCAGCCGGGAATACGCTGTATTATTAATTATGTTCAAAACTAAATTATACAAATAATGATCGAAAACCATTTTCAAATAAAGGTTGTGTCAAATTTGTTTTTGGCTGCAATAAATAGAAATACGATTTATGGTTATTTCTGATATTTTCGTTTTTCTTGTCATGAATTTTCAAAACATATGTGATCTCTACTACATCGTTACAAACTGGTTGAAAATAATGCTCATTATTTTCATTAATCTAACGAAATCATGTCTTGCACGAGGTATTTTTGAGTATCATTATTAAACCAGTATGATTTATTTTTTTCAATCATCTTCATAATTTGTTAACTTATATTTAAATCGGGTGATCGATTTTAAAGATGTATATTTATTGTAAGTAGAAACTTTTGTACCTGTGACACATTGTACCAACACTTTTCTTAATTAGCCCGTGGATATTTTTTATGATACTCTGGGTACTTCAAATGATACACCACGGTGACAAATTAACAATGTCTTCTTAAGTTGTGCATTAAATCTTACATGTAATATAAAATGATATAAAATAAAATATTTATTTTTGATTATGCACTATAATGTTTAAAAAATATTTCATTAAAAGTGAATAATTACAGTGGGAAAAACTATTTTTTTAAACTTAAGAGTATTATTATTTGAATTAAATACTTTCCTTTAGTTTTTAAAATTATTCATTCAACAAATATGTATTCATTTGTATAGGAATTCATGTTCAAAAGCACAGGACCATCATGCACCTGTGAACACTTTCAACTTTTTATTTTTTTTAATAAGTACACAGTGTTGAAGAAGAACAAAAAAGAAATGTTCTAAAACTAGATCCGATGATATACAGAATATACTAGTTGGAAAACATGAGAAAATAATTGATTTGTACGTAAAATTAATAAAAATATTGAAGGTAATTGAATACAATAAAAATATTGAAAGGTATTAAATATTGAGGTCTTCCCTATGTTTTATATCGCTTGAAGAAGAGCGTTTGAGAAAGGAGAGGTTTTGAGTTATTTTTTGTTTATATGATTACTCAGAAAGTTTCAAAATTCTCCGCTCTAACTGAAGAGAAGTGAGCAAGTACTCATTCAGTTCACTACGTCATGTTACGGAATGTGAGATGCGGGATAAAGCTCGCGTAACATAATTATATGAAAAAAAATGTGTTTAGAAGTTGCATTGCTCGTTGATTTAAGAGAAATAGATATGAGAAAATGTATAACAGTACTAGAAGTCAACTTAATGCCTGTTCATATGCCTGATAACATTTATTAGATATTTTACTCCCTATTGTCAAAGATACATTCAGTGACACGAGATCATTCATCCTAATTTTCGAACTTCACTACACGCCGGGTAATGAAAGAAAAATTAACAATGTTAAATCTGTATGTTACTAACGGAATATGTGATGTTGTTAATAACCGGCTTTCTTTTATGTTAATATGCATTCCCTATAATGTAAACAACGTGATAATTGTACATAGGTTATGACAACGATGAAGGCAGGTACTAGTGTCATGTATATTGCTGTAAAACGAATAGTAGTTTTTCCTCAAACATATTGTCGCAGTTAAATATATTTAATTAAATCATGAATAACTATGCCAAAACTTTTACATAAACAATAATTGCCATATAAACAATTTTATTGGTTATTTTTACTCTGGAGATCTCTTCACACAGCTAAAAAGGAAAGATCTCTTTTGAAAAGAATAACTAAAAACTTAAATACCTCTTAAAAAATATTTTTCACAAAAACCGGTTAATGATGGTTTAAGAATGCACAGATCTTCTCGTATTGATAAATCAAGCGTCAAACTGCATACATAACTGTTTAAATATGTACCCAAAATATCCAGCAAATCATTCAATATTGTAGCAACTAGTATTAACCAAAATAAGATCTTCAATTTTTCAGCAGCTGTTGTTTACACAGTATTGTCCTTTGGTGGTTTGGAAATTATTCAATAACTATTTTGAGTGAGTGTGTTTTGTTTCCAGGTTTCCCAAGATATTAACCTAGTACGGGGGATTCTACGACGACTCTTAAAGTCTCGGGTAGACGAATAGTGCAAATCCTTTCCTTTAAGGTGAGTATTCTCGCGAGTTCTTATTTAATTTCTAAGTTCACACACTGTATTTAGACCCGACAATGAGAAGAAATATCACGGAGATAAGATTACTTTCTAGTGGAAAATCTGATTTACAGAAAAAAAAATGTTTCTTTTCCCATAATGATTGCAACGGAGTCAAATATTATAATGAATATATGAAACCACTCAGTGAGCACGTAGTTTTGAAATGAAGTATCACAAATTCATGCAGACATTATAAAACATCGTAATGAACTGTAATTGCAGACCTATCAAAACTAGAATATTATTTTTATTGCTTAAATATTTGCAATTCCGATATATCACTTGTAAATTGCTGCTTTGATTTTTTAATAAGAGTAAATTGAAAAGTATTTATGTAAATTATAATATTGGTTTTATTATTTAAACACAAGAATAGAGTGCGAGAAAATAATTGCTACTCTAAAGAAAAAATCGTGTTTTTAATACACGAACACATTTTGCAGGAATTTAATATGACTTCAACGAAACATCCGACGAAGGCAGAGAAAACTAGAAGTGAGTGCAAACTACTAGCAGAGGTTGCTGGTTTGAAGGAAAATAATAGAGAACTCGCCAAATCATTGGCCGAAAAGAGAAAGGAAAATATTGAATTAAGAGAAATGCAAAATAAGTACGTTATTCTTGAAAATAAATTGAAAATTAATCAAAAACTGCATTTATCGTCAATTTCACGTTTAGAAAAATTTCTTATAAAAACAAGTTCTCAACTTTTTGAAGTTGTAGAAAGTATTTCTTCTATTCACAAAACTCTACATGATAGTATGAAATCTGCAATGTTAGAGGACAGCGACAAAAATAAAGAAAAGAAAACAATTGTAAATGAGGAATCATTGACTTTGGAAGATACACATATTTTAGAGCACATTAGTGATGTGTTAAAAAACATTACATCTAGGAAGCAATTTAATACAGACAAAAAGGAAACGAATATCCTTTCTCCACAAAAAATATTTGAAGAAAACCCAGAAAATGTTATTGAGTGTAGTACAAGGGAATTAGATCCTCTTCCCGAAGTAGAGAATAATTTAGTTAATGATTTAACAAAAGATTGTTATTTTTGCAAATCCGAAACGTTAAACCAAAGTAAAGTGGATACCTATTCTTGTTCACAGAATAAGCACATTCTTAACATTGCTTCATCAGAAAAATTTACTTCCGACGGAGTGACTTCCACGTCTCCAAATGTAAGTGGCATTTCTGATGAGGCGAGTCAGTTGGATAAAACCGAAACTACAGTCGTATACGTAAACGGAGCACAACATATTAATGATGTGTCGGCAATGGTCAACTCAATTGGAGCTGATACATACCATTACTCACAGGATGAAAATTTTCAAAATTTTCTTGCCGACGAGGAAACAATAATTCGGAGAGGGGTAGACCAGTCGTTAGTAATACCACATAATACTGCGATTCCTCTCATTTCAATGGAGGACAATAACGATCAGTTCTTTAGCCACGCGCAAGAAAAAGTGCTGCGAACAAGTGGTCCTTCTGATGTAGAGCATCAGGAAGGCGAACAACAGCCCGAAAACCACATCATGTCCTTGAAGCTTTTAGCACATTCGGCAAATTTAGCCAATGCTTTAACAAGAAATGAGGTGAAAGAGAAAGTTAAATCAAATGCGACCGAGCAGAGAGGTGTTGAACTTCATAGAAAATACCCTATAATTCTCCAAAATCCAGTTCCAACAAATACTAAAATGCAAACGTCGTGTAAATATTCAGTAGCAGAGACAGAAGAACGCCGCACTACTAAATTATTCAATACATCTCCTGGAAGAGAAGGAAAAGACCACTATTCACAATGTTTCACAAATTCTAATTTATTTCAATCCTTGGAACAACACAATTGTATTTTCAATAGAACAGTCCGAAGATCTGCTGACAAAAATGAATATACAATATATTGTGATTCGAGCTCTCCAAATGCTGATACTGAAAAATATTTGCGACGTTATCAAACTCTTGTAAATTTGAATGAGATTGATAATTTGAATGACGTTTCAAGACCCGAAAGTTGTTCAGGGAAAGAAAATACGCATAGTTTAACATTGAACAAGGAATTTAGGCAAACATTTCCGGTGAAAGAATTTTCTAGAAAGCCGTTTCAGGATAGACGGAACTCAATTCTTTCCGGCGTAGAAAATATATTCAATTCTTTTAAAAAACGTGACATACAAGACGCTTTAGGGGATGGAAATGACAAAAATAATTCGAAGATCTGTTCCAAAGGATTACTGTCGCAGAATACTAAAGAAGATTCTTCGAAAACAAAATACCCGAAGAAAAAAATAGCAAAGAGGGGCAGGAAGAAGACACGATTGAGAAAGAAAGAAGACTTGCGGTTGTAGAAATATATTGTTTCCGTGTGTGCATTAACTCATAGAACACGAAGAGGTGCCCATTTCATCTCGACAGAGATAAATTTTGTGTCCTGTGGTGGGTGTGTTTTGTAAATAACACTTGTTCGAAATAAAATCCTTTTCTTGCTTCCATATTATAATTATTCATTCACAAAACTCATTAGAAATCTTCCATTTGGTTACAATAACAGACACGTCATTCCCAATTTCCCAAAGCAATTTTAGAATATACAAGATGACTCTACCTCTTCTTGTAGTAATTGACCAACAATAACATGAAAATTATTGAAATAATATTTTAATAATAATTCATTCATTATTAAACATTTTAATATTTGAGCTACCTTGTATAAAAATCTCTCATCTAACTGCTTAAATCAGTTTAATATGTCCATTTTTTAGTATCTTCTGGAATGAACGTTATAAGTAACAAAGAATCTTTGTTTGCATTAATAGGTAACAAAAAGATTCGCTATCCAAATTACTTTTTACATCTGAATGACATTCAACAGAATTTCCTGTCACAGGAAAATTGCTTAAATACTTCATTAATTTTTAAAATTATTCTCACTCTTATCAATAAACCTAGTTCTTAAATTCGCTAAAGTCAAAGACAATTTTATGAAATAAAATATTCCGACTTTTAACCAATAAGATTTTGTTTCTTTGCAGTATAATATTTATATTGTATGTATTATGTCTTGTAAAAAACCACGTTCTACAATTTTTAACGATTTCTTAATTTTTAATCTCTTGAAAAATTAAAAGGAGATTTTCTGAATATAAAGTCAACATTTTGTATGGAAATTTTCGGGGAAGGATTGTTTTCAAAAGTACTATTCGAAAGCTTTTGAAAATGTATGATGATTTTGCATGTACTCGAAAACCTTTAAAATTTTGAAAAACTTATTATCATTTCATCAAAAATAAATTATCATTTGGGCCACTTATGTCAAGAAATGTATTAAATTATAAAATTCAGGGATTATGTACGTAATAATGACACTCGAGTGGTTCGAAACAATTACTAATGTATCCCCAAATCATAATATCCCTTAAAATTCACAGAATCATAACTTGAGGCTGGTAAATTTGAAAATAATAATTTAGTGGATGTTTATTAAAATGCGTTTTACACACTATTCACCTTTTAATACAGAATGAAAACCTTTGTTTTACGCCCTAAGTTCCAAAACTTATAAAAAACAGACATTGTTTTGAAAAATACATATTGATATTTTTTTATTATGAATCGTATTTTTCTACACTGCTGGGAATATTTGACACAATATCTGTACATAATGGCTACTTTCGTTTGTATGTGTTTTATTGTTCTTTTTTATTTGAATCGGAGAAAACCAAAACGTTCGATGTCCAAGAGCTTCTAATTTTGAAGTTAAAGCCATTTTGTTTGCACCGATTCATTTACATTATCTTCATATTTATAAGTAAAGCAAATAATTTCATTAAACATTTTATCTTCGTTTCGACTGGTAATGAATATCTTAGTGCAAGTCAGTAAGTGCCCAATTATCAGCGACTGTAATCTAACAAAAGTAATCGCTTGCCAGGAGAAGTGAAGTGCTTCTCGACCTACAAACGCACCACATCAACGTGTCGAATTATAATGAAGAATTCTAATTAGAGTTACTGATATTAAAACCTGTGTATCATTTATTTTCGATATTTGTTACGGTACTGCTCTGTCAGTAGACTGGTACTAATCGGAGAAAATGATCGATACAGCTTCTGCTTTATTATTCTCTCTCGTAGTCAAATTAAGAAATATGTTAAATTTGCTTTCACCGTCTTCCGAGCAGCGAATCAGGATTTACTTGAGTAGATGTAATCATTATGACGATTGATTTATAGGAAGTTCTATCGATATTCAAATCAAAACGTTCTGCTCAGCTTGAAAACGATGTCATGTAAAGAGTATCTGACTCAGTAAATGCACATCTTTTGAAAGAAAATTTATATTTCGTCGGATAGTGAGGGTGAACGATCATATCGGGAAATCCACGCTTGATTATTATGAAATACAATAGTTCAATAACAAACACACCGACCTGGATGGCTGAGGTGGCTAAGAGCGTGTGCCGACCCAGCGCTTCGGTCCGAAGGGTCGTGGGTTCGAGTCACTCTTTGGTTATGGCTGTTTCCCTCTTGTCTCTCATGTACGTTTTGCCGCGGATGACCTCGTGTTCTGCTGACTCCAGATTAGAGGAGCCCGCAAGCGTGTTGGTGTCTAGTGTATGGTCAAATATGCGTCCCATCGAGACGTAAAGGTTAACTGGCTGTCGGCTGGTACGAGTTCTGAGGATGGCAGAGTTTCGTTACTAGTTAAATAGCTAGGTCGACTTCGTCAGCGGTCTAAAGAGAAATTCTAGCGACCGGCTGTTCTGAAAGATAGTTTTCCGTGTTTTCTCGTATCAAGCCAGACTAATTCTAGAGCTGTACCTTAAGTCACGGACTTTTTCCCCCTTCTTTGCAAACTTGTCAAACTTTTTCCCCCTTCTTTGCTCTCTCCTGATCTCTTACTTACACATACTTATGCTTACATGCACTACCTCAAATGTCGGAAACATAGAGCTTGTATCGGATGGGGCGGTGCCTCGCTAGGGGAGAAAATCTTCACAGGAGGAAATTTCGAAAAAAGCTGTCGCGAAGGTTGGCGCCGGATATCGGGAGCAGAAAAAACCTCATCCCGCGATAAAACATTAATTGCACTAACAAGACTTATGACCATAGCAGCTAACGTGGCCGTAAACATCAGTCAGTGAATCAATGCGATCCTGCAACAGCTGCAAAGTTAACTGAAATCTTTAACTCCTCACACGCAGACACAGGCTCCAGTCGCTCAATGCACAGCGGGCACTCACTTTCAGTATTTCATCTCTCTCAACTGAGAAGCGCGTTAGAAAGGGGCTGCTCCTGAGCAACTGAGAAATCCAGCCAGCAACGTAGCTGCGTTGTGAATCTCTGTGCCATTGTTTACCGGAGGCGTTCAGGTCCAGCGAGTGTTCTTCCTCATGCTGAGGATATCATTCGCATCAAATACCGCTTGTGATTATAATTGAACTCCTCTCGAAATCATGTAGCACCTATCGATCTCGTTCAAAGGTCACAAGATGAGCCACTCATATTGCAGACAAAAATTCACAAAAATGTAGCAGTTTGTGAAATTGTGCGCCACCATTTTTTTATTCAATGTGCTACTTTCGTAAATTCAAGGCCTTCAAATTTAATGAAGATAAAAACCCTTCTTGATTGCACGACCTCACTATTATTTTTGGAATAGTTTTTATTTATTTATTTATTTATTTATTTATTTATTTATTTATTTATTTATTTATTTATTTATGTTTCCAACAGATATATGATATGAACAAGCCACCTGTTTTAAACCGCCTTCAGACCTGGCGTATCACTCAAGTACATGATTTTGCATCGTTGTCAAACTTCCTCTCTCTGCTCTCTCTCTCTTATATATATATATTATATATAATATTATATATATATATTATATATATATATTAATATATATATATATATTGTGACGTACCTGGAAGCGGTACTTTCACGACAAATAAATTATGCAAGGGACAGGTGCATTTTCGTGGCTGGGTCTCCAGGAATTTGGCGCAGCATAGGAAGATAAATCGTTATAAGTTCGTTTGCACGATTAAATATTTTAATTATGCAGAAAACACACTTTACAAATACGTATTTACAGAATCGAATGCGCAGGGCCTTGGAAACAAGCGCACGGTCAACGCTACGCTTGATGTTTTAAAAACCACCTGCCTTCTCTAGAGGCGACCGGGGCTGTCGTGGCACCGCGGCGTGTATCGGCAATCTTCCGGTTCGCCGAAGTCCGCCGGGATTCGCGTCCTTCGGCGACCAACTCCTCTGGCCCGCAACGCATAACGGCGATAAATTCGCACGCCGGGCACCCAAGCGGTGTGCATAAATGTCTCACGGGGTACTGAAACGCACGACGCGTGATTGATGTTCCGTCGGGCAGTTCCTAGGTTTTCAGCGCCTTTCTCCACTTTGCGCGGATGTCCGTTACAGTACTGCCCCTGTTATATTATACCAGGGCGGGAATATGAACACGCGTCCATCGCCACAGATTTTCTGTCTATATGGTTTTTATATCAGTTCTGGTTGCGCATTCACTTTCATAATCGTCTGATGTTCATCCTTATCAAACCTTGTTCCACACTCAGCGACACCTCAGTCCCGAACTGGCACTTAACAAGGACAATTAATCTCTTGGACGGCAGCATGCCCGTCGTGCTTTCACTCGAGGGCACTCCGCGCACTACTCTACCGTCGCTCGCCTCGCGTTTACCCCCACGATTTTGACCTTTGGTGGCGGCCGCGGCGGCGTTACTGCGCTGAATCAACTCCAGTCAACTTTACTTTATTTTTTATTTGGCTGATCCTTGTAAATTGTTATTATTTAACAGAAACGTACTTGTTTTACAATATAATATATATATATATATATATATATATATATATATATATATATATATTGATCGAAGAACGTTTCTACATAATAATTAGCAACCTGATATTAATTAAGGAAGAGACAC